TCCCTCCAGGACTTACTAAAGGAGGCAGAATTGACCCTACATCCACTAGCCAAAACCCCATTCCCTCTTCCTTGCCCCTGTAACAATCCTGGGGAGGGGAGAGTTCCTTGGCTTTGTTGAGGAGTGTAGTGTTTGTTCTGGAATTCCCCTTGGAAAAGGACATTGTGTGTGGTAAAGTAGGAGGAAAAAAAAAAAAAAAAACCTGTTGCTGTCGAGTCGGTGCCAACTCATAGCAACCCTACAGGACAGAGTAGAACTGCCCCATAGAGTTTCCAGGGAGCACCTGGTGGATTCAAACTGCTGACCTTTGGGTTAGCAGCCATAGTTCTTAACCACTACACCACCAGGGTTTCCATTTAGGGCCAGTGAAAAAGAGGAAGACCCTCAGCTGGATGGACTGACACAGTGGCTACAACAATGGACTCAAACATACCTACTATTGTGAGGATGGCACAGGACTGGGCAACGTTTTGTTCTGTTATAAATGGGGTTGCTATGAGTTGGAGCAGACTTGACGGCACCTAACAACAATGTAGTGTTTGTCGTGGGAGACACTTCCTTTTCCTCCCCTACTAAAGTGAGGAGGGCTCAAAGCCCTTATAGAGGTTGAGAGGTGACTGCAAGAGGAGATGTTGGGATGCTGTTTCCCAGTGGAGGCCCGGTTGGCCGTGGACTTGCTGATTCTTCCCTTGTGCCTAGCTAAACTATGGAGGAGAGAGGTGGACAGAGAGGACATTGTGGAGCAGCTGGCCAGTATGCATACATTTCTCTGGGTCCAGTGCTCACTGCTGGCACATCTTTCTAGTGTCCCAGCTAAGAGGGCTGACTGCTGGGCAAGAGGGTCCCATCAGTGGCAGGAGCTGAGGTGGTGGGGAGAGGTTGTTGTTGTTAGCTGCCTTCAAGTTGGTTCTGACTCATAGCAACCCTATGCACAATAGAACGAAACACTGCCCAGTACTGCACCATCTCCATGATTGTTGCTATGCTTGAGCCCATTGTTTCAGCTACTGTGTCAATCCATCTCGTTAAGGGTCTTCCTCTTTTTCACTGACCCTCCACTTCACCAAGCATGATGTCCTTCTCCATGGACTGGTCTCTCCTGATAACATGTCCAAAGTATGTGAGATGAAGTTTCATCATCTTCGCTTCTAAGGAGCATTCTGGCTGT